ACACAAGAGAAAACAAATCAAGATCAAAACAATTTAAAATAAGTTCTGGGGAGCTAATTAGTATCTAAAAGCTACTACATGTAGTTTAGGGTTTAGGTTACTAGAATATACTTTTAAAAATCATCATAATTTAAACAAGAGGGCCATGATGGCCCTGAGGTCGCTCACCTGTATATAGGCCCCCCCACCCCCGGGCCAATTTTTACCCAAGGGCTTTTATTTGTTTATTTGAACAGACTTGATAGACACCCATAAGAAGATGTTTCATGCTAAACATCTAATTTCTAGCTCATTGGGTTTTTTAAAAGAAGATTTTTTAAGTTTTTACTATACACATATAGTTAAAAACAATGACACCCCTGGGGCAGGGCCAATTTTGACCCCCGGGCTTTTATTTGAACAAACTTTGTAGATATTTACTTAAAGATGTTTCATGCTCAATATCTAAACTCTAGCTATTTGGGTTTTTTCAAAGAAGTTTTTTAAGTTTTTGCTATACACATATAAGGAAAATCAATGACCCCCCCCCCCACCCGGGCGGGGCCAGTTTTGACCCCAGGGCTTTTATTTGAACATACTTGGCAGACACCCATTAGAACATGTTTCATGCTAAATATCTTAGCTCTAGCTCTTTGAGTTCTTTAAAAAAAGATTTTTTAAGTTTTTACTATATGCATATGGGGAAAATCAATGACCCCCTGGGGCGGGGCCAATTTTGACCCAAGGGCTTTTATTTGAACAAACTTGGTAGACACTTATTAGAAGATGTTTCATGCTAAATATCTTAGCTCTAGCTCTTTGGGTTCTTTAAAATAAGATTTTTTAAGTTTTTACTATATGCATAAAGGGAAAATCTATGACCCCCTGGGGCGGGGTCAATTTTGACCCCAGGGCTTTTATTTCAACAAACTTGGTAGACATTCACTAGAAGATGTTTCATGCCAAATATCTAAGCTCTAGCTCTTATGGTTCTTTAAAAGAAGATTTTTTAAGTTTTTACTATATGCATATAGGGAAAATCAATGACCCCCCGGGGTGGGGCCAATTTTGACCACAGGGCTTTTATTTGAACAAACTTGGTAGACACTCACTAGAAGATGTTTCATGCTTAATATCTTAGCTCTAGCTCTTTGGGTTCTTTAAAAGAAGATTTTTTAAGTTTTTACTATATGCATATAGGGAAAATCAATGATCCCCTGGGGCGGGGTCAATTTTGACCCCAGGGCTTTTATTTGAACAAACTTGGTAGACATTCACTAGAAGATGTTTCATGCTTAATATCTAAGCTCTAGCTCTTACGGTTCTTTAAAACAAGATTTTTTAAGTTTTTACTATATGCATATAGGGAAAATCAATGACCCCCCGGGGCGGGGCCAATTTTGACCCCAGGGCTTTTATTTGAACAAACTTGGTAGACACTCACTAGAAGATGTTTCATGCCAAATATCTTAGCTCTAGCTCTTTGGGTTCTTTAAAAGAAGATTTTTTAAGTTTTTACTATATGCATTTAGGGAAAATCAATGACCCCTGGGGCGGGGCCAATTTTAACCCCAGGGCTTTTATTTGAACAAACTTGGTAGACACTCACTAGAAGATGTTTAATGCCAAATATCTAAGCTCTAGCTCTTGGGGTTGTTTAAAAGAAGATATTTAAAGATTTTTCTTTCGGTTGCCATGGCAACCAGAGTTCTGCATGGAATTAAATTCTTTGAACAATTTTTAAAGGTGACCACCAAAGGAACATTCCTGTGAAGTTTGGATGAAATTGGCTCAGTGGTTTATGAGGAGATGTCATTTAAAGCAAAAGTTTACGGACGGACGGACGGACGCCGGACGAAAAGCGATCACAAAAGCTCACCCTGTCACTTTGTGACAGGTGAGCTAATAATGTACAAACAACTCTGTTAAGTCAAGTCTGAAGACATTAACAAAATTGGCAGAAATGACCATCCAACTAATCGGAACACTTTGCTGAAAGGTTGCCACCATCAATTCATCATTTAGGTAGAAAAGTTAAAAAATATAATAACATGTATATATTTTGAGTGTTTTTTTTTTTTCACCAACTTCAAGTCTTGGAAAGTTCTGTGTCATATATAATTATATAATTTTTTTGCCTCTACAAAGCAGGTTTATGAGCAACATTTTTACATGCATCGTAATGAATCAGAACAGAGTAGAAGAAATGGCCATTAATGGCCATAGTTTTATCATTTATCATGAAGTGCCAGAAAAAACATTTACTCCGAGGTTAGTTGTTTTCACTGCGGGATGAAAAAATGTGCTGGAATTCCAGAACTCAGATCGCGAGAAATAAGCAGAAAATGTTCAATTATTCCTACATAGGTATGCGATTTAAAAAAGTTATCGTGGTTTAAGATGCATTTACAGTCGAACTTTGATCATTGGAACTCGGAGGGTCCATACAAATTTGTTCGAGAGATCGGTAGTTCGAGCCAACCGAGGTTGAAATATTTTCATGTAGGACAGAGGCCAATTACATCTTGTGAATGATAAATACGTCAACATAATTGTTTGTTAGTACATCAGTTCGTCGAATACGCCATTTCTTGTAAATATTAAGAATTATTATCCTACTGTGTTTTTAAAAGGGTATTTAAGGTACTCTGTGTTAAATCTATATTCATGCATATCAGTGTTTGAAATTAGCAGTAGTCCGATAGCCAGTGACTTCCAAATTTCTGCTTGGGCTACCAATATTTCGCAGTAACAAGCCTGACCGGGCTAACGTATTTTACAAAGGCAATTTAAACAACTATTTGGAACGAATGAATCATACTAGTGAAATGTCTTTTGGGCTAGTGATTATTCCAATGTGGTAGCCCGACCATCCTATTGGATTCAAATCCGAATTTCGTACACTGGCATAGTGTAAATGGCTGAGTTTGATTGGGCAATCATTATCCAAACTCAAAATATATTTATATGTGTATTATGGAATAAATATTATTTTTAACAATGAATTAATAAAATATTTTCAGCAGCATCTATTATGTAGACATTAACTAAAATAAACACACATACAAGTATCATTCTATAAATAGATAAGTTAACACTGTTTCAATCCATGTTACATGAACCACAGCTGTAATTAAAGCCATCCGGGTAAATGTCATTTATTTATTGACTGCACATTTCACAAGTTATTTTCTTTTTAATGTTACTAAAGTCAGAAAATATTATTATTAGCAAACAAATTGGTTACAACACCTGAAATTTTGTATCAATTAACCTTAATTGTCTTTATCATGATCATGAGGTGTTAAAAACATGTGATGCCAAGTTGGAAAAAGTCCTTATTTAACTGTCCTCCGCCATTTTGAAATCTTTTGAGCTAAATATAGATATCAGGGTGCTTTTGGGTGTCTACATAATTCGGACTTTTGCTAGAAGACACCTTCAGAATAACACTTCTGGTAAAAGAATAATTTAAAAAATCTGAAAATAAACATACATTTCAATGATAAGAACTATAGTTATGATGATAAATATAAAAAGATTAGTTTTTACATATCCATTTTGATAAATCAACACATTAAAAAATAACGATACAACAACAACTTTGATTACAGGCAGTGTTGCATCTAGAATTTCATAATTATGGGGGATTGTCCCCCACTCAACTGAAAAATGTGGGGGACTTGAAAAAAATGTGGGGGACATACATTTACCTAACACTATGACTTATCCAAAAGAATTCAGTTATTTTACGCTCAGGCATTTTTGACAGCTATCGTCCGCTCAAAAACGGAAGTAGAAAAAATAAAATATTGACGAATACTACAAAACACACGCGAGATGACCAAGTCGGCTGCTACACGCTTTTTAGTACGTATGTTAGTCATTACCACGAGTGAAAACAAACATGGCTGATGCTTTCAAGACACGATGAAGATAAACTGAATAAAGTGATAAAATTGTCAGATGCGCGACTTTGCGCGCGTTGACTTCATTAAAATGCGCGATCTGCATAAAATATGCGCAAATCGCGCAATCGCGCGGCCTAGATGCAACACTGTACAGGTTAACCAATATGGCAGACAGGATTTTCCAAACTCCTACACAGTGGTCCCACTTTGCTTCGCTACACAGAGTAGCCAATCAAATCACTATGAGGCATTCTGGGATTTCCGGAAATATTCGAATACGTTAATAGGTTGAACACCACCAATTAATTTGTTTCTTGTTTACGGTACAATATACCTGCATTTACATATTTACAAAGTGCAAGAAAGATCTGGTTTACAACATGTTATGCTTGATAGCAACTCTAAGAGCTGGCACCAAGGGCCTTCTCGCAAAGGGGTCTTAACAGTAATGCGAGTACCTGCTAGATAGTGATGGTTTTGAAAACTTTCATCCAAAGTACCGAATTGACACATGGCAACTTTTCGAATTACAAGATGATGATAAAAGCTGAGGTATTCTGATTGAAAACGGAAGGATAGACTGGTGTCCTGCGCACTTATATGGGAACCATAATAGGACAGGGAACCACAATAAACGGAAGCAGTGTATGAAATACCAAATGACAATTTTAAAACTGAAAATGTAAAATAAAAATGAACGATTGTTTTATATTATTTCACGGTAAAAGAAAATCAAACTTGCTTTGAGGCTCAGCCTTTTTCATATAATTTAAGTCATAAGAAATTTCCGAACCATAGAAAGCACCAAATTTCATATATTATAATATTAGAATTTGAGGTTCCTGTGGTTTTAGCAACTAAAATAATCATGCTGCCTGGTGTGGTTTGTAATAGGACTAATCTAAAAATTAAATTTCGAATAAGATACAAAATCAAAATATTAAAAAGCAGCATATAAAATGTGTGCATATAAAATGTTAGAGGTGCCGAAATTTTAAATGCCACTTTTAAATGGTTTGATCGGGTAGCAAGAAATGTGGACAGGATCAAAAATTTGTAGAGCAAGCTCAGGCACGAAATTTAAACATTTGTTATTCATAAACGACAAACCTTTGGATTTATTCCTTCTACTGAAGTAAGACCAATACAAATTGGTGTTGAAATATCTTGCGCTGCGCTCTCCCTGTCAAAAGCAACTGGCACAAGAACGTTTTTCTCAAAGAAATCTCTCCAAGATTTCCCCGTTGCGACCGCCGCCATATTTTGTAAATAGTGGACTTGTTTACGGTATTGTTTTAGTAATTCGAGAGGATTTTTTTAAACGAAAAATCGGAAAACCAGACTGATATTTTTATAGATTGTACACCACTAAAAATTGTATTCAATAGGTCAAATATGATTAAATATTTTCCTCAGGTGATTTTTTTTAAGCGTTGAATTAAAATCAGAATTAAAAAGGCATTAGAAGCGAAAAAATGTATTTCCTTCTTTGAGAAAATAGCAAACAATTAATATTTTAACCTTTAAATAATTGTTTTAGAGCAGTGTTACATACTTACACCACTTAATAATGTAGCGCTGAATTATGTGTCATAGTCAAGTAGCAAAATGTAAACCAAATTAGTATTTTGACTTTTGAACATAGAAAATACTTAATCATTATAAATTAAATTAATCATATAATTATTAATAACCATACTGTACTGATTGCCAAAATGCAACAGAAGCAACATATGTTTCAGGGTATTGCCCAATGAGTAAATATTTGGAAATTATAGGCAGGCCTTAAAAAAACTAAAAATAAATCTAGCTTTGGAGAAATAAAAATAAAACCATTTCTGAGGCACGATATATGCCTTTGACAAACTTAATTCTGAGTCGCAAGGTATCGCTAATTTTGGGTAAGACCATATTCCATTCAGGTCATGAGTCATTAGTCTTATTCTAGTTTTTGTGTTCTTCTGATTAGAAGAACCTGAACGGATCTTTAAAATTGTTTATGGTATCAAGATTATCTTCTGATCATAAAGGTTTGCCTTGAATTAAAACATAGAATATACAGTAACTACTGAAAAGTTGTTCAAGTTTCACTATCACGATGTAAACGACTATGAGGTCTAAAATAGGAACCAAACCCGGTACTAAAACGCCCAGCCCCCATAACCAAAAATATCTTCTCATACCTCTATTGGGACTTGAACCCAGGCCTTTAACAACTAATGGCACGATTATTATCAAAACTCCGTCAAGAATGAAGCGGGTTCATTGCTGACGGTTTATTTACTTCAACAATTAGTTCAAATTAACCAGAGACTTAACACAGAAATATAGCTCGATCTCTGCGATATTAACAAGCTATTTAAAATTTTACATAGATACGATTTCTTTTCTTTTTATCTTTTTTCCCCCACTTAATTCGTACTTTCTGTCTCATCTTTCTTATTTCATCTTCCTCTAGAAAATAGACTATAATCGTTTTCATACGAACATTTGTGAAATGTTCTGAAGCATTCTAGACCGGGTTAATAACATCATCAATACTGATGAAGATTTTGATACCCTATAGGAATTTAGTTAAGTTTTAGTCTGATTGTGTGACAGCTCCAGAAGCTTACATTGTACTGATATTGTATGAGGAAAATGCTTGTGAAAAAAACGACGATAGTATAGGGTTTGAATTCACGATGATGATCACTAGGTTGAGAGTAAGACACATTAAACCACAGTGTAGAAACGGTATCACCTTTAACATTTACTTATACAGTTCATTGTACACGTACAGTGTATTGGGCAATTGAGATTGCAAACGTGCAATTAATATTGTATCCTTTTTTCGATCACCTAAGGTAGATATATTTCTACACAATAATAACCATTAGGACACCACTCTCCTTCTTTTGTAAGATTCCCTGATACACTTGTAAACATGATATCACATTTTGATTTCCTCTTCACATTGATAGCTGCAAAAATGACGTTTAATGCTAACATCAAAACTGAAAAATCTTTAATTAAATGAAAGCATACGTAGTCACCTGGGTAAAACAACCAACATTCTGCTTCATAGCTTACTCCCGTGAATGAGCTAACATCCCTAAGGGAAACCACATATGTGGGGGGACTGATTTGATGGCGTTGGTCTTAAGTTTGGTACTTAATATACTTGATCCCGTTATTGTTTACTTTAAAAGATTGCGACATGTATAACTGAATGAATAAATAAATAAAAATAATTGTTACTTTGTTTCTTCTGTCATTGTAGATTTTCCACACACAGTCACACCTAGTTACTCAAAAAGATTGTAAAATAAATGACGCGGAGTGAAACACAGGGGTCAGGTAGTTTGGTCTGTTCTTTCTGCTACCACCATCAAGAAGAAAATGAGAGAAGTTTAGTTAAATATGTATAGAAGATATATTTTCTTATTCCAAGGGGCTTAAAAGTTGGTTAAAAACAGTCATTTTTACTAGCACCATGCAGTCATTGTACTTATTAATGTCTTCAAACTGTTACAATTTCCGCAATTAATTTTTGTAAACGACGACAACAATAATTTACACAAATTTTGACACAATAGTGCACAAATCTAATGTTTCCACAGCATAGTGTGAACTGTGTGCAACACCGAAACAAATAACAAAGAAAATAACAAATTGTATATCATTTGATAATCTAAATCTATTCATTTATTATTGTTACATTATACGGATCTCATCTCAAATAAACAAGAAAACACATCTTACTTAACATACTTGTAAATAAAAGAATGAAATAACATCGGACGTCATACGATTAAAATAAAAACGTCTATAATATATTCTCTCCTAATCATATACATGGCATTATGTACTTCTTTTATTTCCATTGTGTATTTTCCAGTAAAGCAATGATTGACATATCATTAATATAATTGGAATACTTTAATAGAATTATTTCCCATGCCAATGTACAATTTATTATGCTCACAATTAAAAAGTTATACACTGAGGTCCTTTCAAACCATCGCCCTTGTTTAAAATTTCTTGTATTATATCGCAGGTGTCGGATATCTGACAACACGCTTTGTGTGATTGAAAATCTCCGCCACACCACATATGAAAACGCTTAACCCATACTTGTCCACCTCGGGAACGAACATAGCGGTCCGCTACAAACGATTTATTCAATCTTTAAATACCCCGGCCCATCGGTATTCTTTCTATTTGCTTATAGATATTACTGTACCCACGGCACACTGGAGGCACACCTCACCATGCCCAGTTACGTAGACATAACATAAAAAATCTCCTGTCCATGTTGGGCTTGAATTATACGTGAACTACATAATCAGAGAAAATTCGTGTTAAAAAACGTCCCCCTTAAACCACATGCTTTCTAACTCACTTGTTCCAAGTAAATCTGTAACCTATTTTCACAGGCGGAGGCTCGTTCTGAATTGAAACAAACATAAATTAATCAGTTTATACGATACATACCAAAACCATAATCACTTCTTTCACTATCCATCTCCCTTTTCTCACATTTAAACTGCAATAGATCCACGATAATTCTAAGAGATGGATTTTCCTTCTATAAGGATAGGTCACAGCAATCTGAGTTGCTTCAGTTTTGACCAGATCAAATGGCTTTATTAACGCACCTGAACCATCCAGCTTATGGACGGATGCCAAATAATTATTCACAGTGTCAACGACTTTCACAGATTCGTTCGTATGGTCGGCGGCAATAATTATAGATTCTGACATTATTTCTACACCAGTTATCACACATTCTTTGTCATCACACGGAAATCTGACATTGATATCTTTCTCAAACTTTGGAACTTTTGCACACTTATTCTTGATATCGAGTCTGCCAATTTCTGTCAAATTTTGAAGCATTTCGACAATGCTTGGCTCAGGTACAAATTGATATCTTTGGATATCGCTCTCCTCCCCAAAGCTTTCAAGACTTATAGACACAATTTTTACTGATTGTTTGGCACGTTTTGCTGTTACAAATAACTGTCGCATATTACCTTTAGTCTTATAGTTACTGATTTTCAAAAGATTCTCATTGAGGTCTTTTGATTGATTCTCCACACGTAATTCAATATCAAGCAATTTTGTCTCATCCATGCTTATTATATCATCAATTGACCGGTTTATTTTCTTTTCAAAAATGTCAAACATTTCGTCTATATCTGTACGTAATCTCTTTACCACGGATTTCGCTCGTTCAGCTTGAATTCTAACAGCTTTCGTTTTGCGGTTTATATCATTTTTAAAATCATTGTTACAGTTGAGTAATTTCTTTAGGGTCGTTTGGAGCTCGTTTAGTTCTTCACTTGATGAAAATGACGAGGCTACCTCCGAAATTAAGTCAACTTCCTTGCAGTTTCTATGTTCAGCTTGTTTGCATTTAAGACATCCAACTACATCATGGGAATAGCAATAATATTCCAAAACACAGTTTTGGTGTTTTTCACAGATATCTGTGAAATCTTTATCAATTCTTTTAATTTGTTTCACCTGTGGCATCAACATTTTTCAGCGCTAGAGAATACCTCTATCCTATCTTTCGTAGCACAGTAAAGAAGCGTTAAATATAACGTGTTGTCATTCAATGTCGTGACTTACTTTCTATTAGCCAAAATCTTTCTCTTATCCTCTAATTATTTAAAAAGTTCCATGAGTATCTATGTTAATTATTTCTATAACCAAAAGATCAAAGCCACAAGAAGATTTTAAACATTCCACTCAAATTGTATAACTGAAGAATAATAAACGTCAAAAAGCAATATGAAGTCTCAAATAACTGGAAGGATCAATAAATGTTATTTTTTTAATCATTCTACAAGTTTGAAATATAAGCTTTCTTTTTAGTTAGTCAACCCCTCCAGATCTATGTCTATTATTATCGTCGTAGGAACACCAACAAATGGAAAATTTTAAAAATACATCAGTTTGAAAATTTAAAGCGCTTGAACATTTATACATGCACAGACCTTTACCTAAAATCTTAACCACGGTACGTGCTCCTTATTAATCATTATACACAAATATGCGGCACATGTCATGTTTACCTATACATTGTAAGCAATACAAAGAAAGTTAATAAACAGAAAAGTTTGTAAAATGATTTGATTTTGAGGATAGTACAATTATACCAATTTAAATTGCTTTCACGTATTATACATCACTATTAAAGGCACATTATGCCCAAGAAACGGATAATTTTTTAATTATTTAGAAAGGGAAACATGACTTTTAAAATATTTAAATAATGGTTTTAGAGCATGTTTGGTGCTT